TATTGGTTTCCTGATTTGATTCTGCATGTTTTGAATATCATTAGTAATGAAAGAATATTGTCAGGTAACTAAGATGTATATATATATATAAAATTATGAAGAAATGATAAACAGACACCTAAAATAGTTTTTGTAACAAAAATGATTTTTGTTTATGGTGTTAATGATGAAAATGATGATCTTTATATTGAAAAACTGAGTCCATAAATGTTAGAGTTTGAATGAACCAGTTATAAACAGATTTGGTTTGTTTTGAATTTCACGCAAAGTTACTAGCCATCCCTAATTTAGACTAGAGGGAAAGCAGCTAGTCAACAACACCGACTGCCAACTCTTGGGCTACTCTTTTACCAATGAATAGTGGGATTGACCATCACATTATAACACCCACATGGCTGAAAGGGCGAGCATGTTTGGTGGGACGGGGATTCGAACCTTTAACCAACAGATTTGGAGTAAATTCGTATTGTCCTTTGGAGAATGCTAAATTGCTAAGTATGTAGCAGTCAACAATTATAAAAGTTGTTATTATAAATTGCTAGGTATGTAGCAGTCAACAATTATAAAAGTTGTTATTATAAATTGCTAGGTATGTAGCAGTCAACAATTATAAAAGTTGTTATTATAAATTGCTAGGTATGTAGCAGTCAACAATTATAAAAGTTGTTATTACTTGAACTGTGTCTTCAGTGGTAGCGTAAGAACAAATTATATTTGGTTTTAGTTTTTTTCAGAGTAGACCTCTGGTTCTCGGTTTTATGGAAACATTGTTAGATCAGTTTTATATTCTTTGGCGTTTTGCCATATGACCCATCCACTTTTGATAACTGTGCGTTTGTGTCTAGCCCTGTCCGATAATCACATTATATGAGGTCTTTACAGGTTTTATTTGGTTACAGGGAGGAGCAGGATTGGGATTCAGTATAGCAGGGGGTACAGATAATCCTCATGTTGAATGCGATCCAAGTATTTATATTACTAAACTTATTCCTGGAGGTGGAGCGAGGACCGATGGAAGATTGAGGTGAGGTATTTTATAATTTAGATTTTACACTTTTGTACTTTAAAATTGAAATTTTTTGGTTAAATTCAAACCCGTTACTTTTCTGTTAATTATTTTTGAAAATGCTTATATAAACTGAAGATATTATTAAGAAATTGTTAAAGCAGACTTATTC